CGTGTTAGAAAGCAAAAAAAACACTACTGATGCCGGATCGCACAACAACATCATTGATGGCATTCCGTAGGAAGGCAAGCTTTCGATATACAGTCTAACGCCGTTTTGTCGAAATAAACATTCGAGTAATCGAATGTTCGACACAAACGCGAAATGACTGCCTAAAACTACACTCACTTCTCTGGCGAACGACCAAGTTAGAAACGTCTTCAACCATGTAATGCTAATAACAGTAAAGGGGGAGGGAGGGGGAATGTACCCTCCCATCACGCGATGCGTTGCCAAATACGTTATTTGAACACCTGGTGTCCTCACTGACTTTTACGGATCCATTTCCACAATTTTCCCAGCTATCTTTCCTTTTCACATCATTTTGTTTCCGAGGATAGCGAAGACTGGGCGTTCTTTGCACTGACCTTCTATATGATAATACCGTGACCTCCACTGCTGTACTTTAATTTCTAATATTCAGCAGAATTGTAACACACTGGCAAACTCACCGTCACAAAACCAATGGTGAATGTTATTATATGTTGAAGCAAAGTGGGGCAGCACAGTCACTGTCAATTATGGAATCTGAAGGTACCACTATCTTCTCTACTGAATGGAGGCAATTCTTCAACCCAAAATCCACTGATCAATAATTGTACATTTTGTAACCGATAAAACTTGAAGACAGAATGTGTTGAACCACCACAGAAAGACAATATGTAGGTGATGCTTTCACGAGGACAACGAATTCAATCCCATAAAATCAGTTCATTGTTCTTATTCCGTGCGCTTGGTTGTTCCTAGCAATTCCAAGACAACCCCAACAATCAAACTTCAAAGTTACGGTAAATATTGATTACGAATGATAGTGGGTAATAAAAAAGCGATATCAAAGTAGTGTTGTCTTTTTTAAAAATCAATACGCCTATTGACCGATTGATAATTTTGACAAAAGTCTAAAAGCATTCATTGTACCCCAAAGGCGTCTTCTTGAATATAAACATGGTGATAGTGTATTTCCTGCACCAAACCACTTTAGTTAGACGAGCTGGGCTGACGATACACGTCCTATTTGAGTGTGTATAATTTGAGTCAGAAATAAGCTAATGGTTTGCTGTTGTATTTGGTGACAAATGCCAAGAGACGTGCTCTAAGAATAAGTGAGTTATATTTGGTCGAACCCCAGAGAGTGATCCGTGTAATGTGGACATAGGATCCAAGTTCGTGGCATTCAAGAAAATGGTAAATGATTGCGACATGTGTCACTAACTAGCCAGCTTGATGCCTCCTGTTCCTTCCCTTCCTTTCATCACTCACTCACTCACTCACTCACTCACTCACTCACTCACTCACTCACTCAACCACTCAACCAACCAACCGTCTATAGACCGTAACAATAAAACGCCCAAACTCACACACGCAAACACCCTGCACTCAATCACGCTTGCTCACCCAACCATCCTCACTTGCTCACAAAACTACTCACACCCGACAACCAATTAACTCACTTTGCTCAATCACTCATCCACCAACTCACTCCTTTGCTCGCTCTCTCACCCAACCTCAAACCAAATTCCTCCCCCATCTACCCATTACCTTCCACGTAACCTCGATCTCTTACTCACTCACGCACCCACTCACTCCCTTGTGCGCTCCCTCCCAACCACCCACACTCATCCTTGCTCACTCACTCATTCAAATATCCACACTCCAATACCCACACGTCAACCGACCCGGTTACTGGCCTCGGTAACCTTGTGATTTAAGTATTGCACATCGCACTTTCTGTCAGGGCCTTCAGGGTACTTAAACTATTTCTAATTGAAAATGACGACCACACTGTCAAGAGTTGTCACGTTTCTCAAAACTATCCCAGAACAAACTCCCACACAGTCACGCACTAAACATATTTCCATCTATTGGGACATTAATTAGATAATAACAATGCTACAACGATGAAACTCGATGACCAGATCACAAAACACCTGAACTAATAAATCAAAGGTAACCCTCATCGTTGACAGCAAAGTAATACGAAAAAACAAACCCGTAATGAGTCTTCTATGTAATCTTTGCAGTATTTAAGGAACATTCTCATTATATTCTGTTGTTATCAAATAAATAAAAGAAAAAACATTTCCATAATGATGACAAATCTCCTCTAAAAACAGAACCCATTGTACAATTCGAACTACATCGTTGATATACATTTAGGAATAACTATCAATTAGCCAAGATACCAGGTGCACTCACGACCGGTTAGAAACCCATTGATACTACTAATACAAATATCATTGAAGACATGATGAATGGGAACATAAAGACCAGCGGACGTGGATCCTGATAAGAACATGTGGCAAACGAGTTGGATTACACTGCGCCGTCTATAATTAATTCATTGTCAAAATGGAGGCCATCATATTGACAAATTCAGTTGCTGACAATAGCTTGCCTTATCTATCTGTAATAAAAGCACGATGATTGTGACAGTGCATTATTGATAAGGCATATCCCTTACGTATAAAACTATTTATCAAAAACATGATACCCTGATGTAAAATTTAATGGTTTTAGACGCCAATATGAAAGATTGATTACTGCTGGGGTGCTTTGATCGTCCGTATGCGAAGTCCACATGCGAAGGTGGTGTTCATTTTGCTACTTAAACTATCCAGTTCGTGACGCTCATGTATCTCTGGTGACAGAAGAAAACCTCATGAACATTACACGCTCTTTATGTCTCTTCATTTGTAACACAACAGATACGAGGCTTGAATCCATCAGTGAAAGAGTGGGTGAAAGCTTTCTTCACCGCCACTTGTTTCAAATACATGGTCGGCGATGAGAACATTTTTGTCAAGCATTTTGCGTAGACACTATTTGACATTACATAAATGCTGTTAAATGTTGCATTTATCCAAGCTACGTCATGGGGATGTGAAGTAAATGTTGTTTCATGAGCATGAAGTAAATGTTTCGTAATGTTGCATTTATTCCACAATGCCATGGGGACGTGAAGTAAATGCTGTTTCATGAGCAGGAAGTAAATATTTCGTAATGTTGCATTCATTCCACAATGCCATGGGGACGTGAAGTAAATGTTGTTTCATGAGCATGAAGTAAATATTTCGTCATGGTGCATTTATTCCACAATGCCATGGGGACGTGAAGTAAATGTTGTTTCATGAGCAGGAAGTAAATGTTTCGTAATGGTGCATTCATTCCACAATGCCATGGGGACGTGAAGTAAATGTTGTTTCATGAGCATGAAATAAATGTTTCGTAATGTTGCATTCATCCCAGCTACGTCATCGAGACGTGCAGTAAATGTTGTTTAATGCAGCATTCTTTCCAGCTTTGCCACGGGGATGTGTAAATCAAACAAACCAGTGACTGAAAGCATGAACACCAATCCAAGCCTTTGGGTTACGATGACATGCAATGCCCTAAGTTCTTGTTCAGTGAGACATTGAAATTGCTATTCGCGTCTTTGAACACAATTCCAGAACTATCGCATTTTGTCAGATTCTTATAAACGTCCATAATGATATCAGTTTGTACTGCCATATTTGTAAAACAATTGAGTTCGGGGTATAGTGCTTACAAAGCAAGGACCTGAGTGGGTCTTAGTGAGATTCCAGCCACAACATGAGGATCCTGACGATACCAAGGCATGCAATTGAGCTCTAAAATTTCTCTGCACATCAGTCTTCGATCACTTCCGGTTGAAATGTGTGTCGAATGTTATAATGCAAATTTGAAAATAAATGGTCATCAAGGTAATTAACTCACCTCTTCCAGTGACTGTATTAATATCGAATTATTTATGTGTAAATGCAACAAAATGTGTGTTTTTACGGATTTTATTGGGTGGAACAATTGTGTATCAGAGAGTAGATGCGAGAATTTTGTTTCGAATTCTACATTATTCCCGTCTAAAACCAGTCTGGATTCAATAATCCGGTGACCCAAAGCCCGAAGAAGCTTCCACACCATCTGCCCAATAACGAGCCTGACCATCCAAGCCACTTTACTTGACTCTGATAAACACTCAGAACTAAGGTCCCATGGTTGTCCAAGTGGAACAACACATTGATGTTTTATCAGACCTTCAAAGCATCAAAACGATTTAAACGTCGCCCTTCCACATCAATGTATATACTTCACTGCGTTCCTTCAATCAGCTACATATAAACTTCAAAAGCATGGTTTTGATAGCAGGCTTCACCAGTGATTTATTTGACATGTTGCCATTTTGTAGTTTTCAAGTTGTATTTCAATGCACTGCGATGTCTAACATATCTAATTTACATAGTTACTTAAGATTTTAAAGCTTAAGCTTCTGAGGAGACGAGTAAAGTTGGGGGATAGAATATCCACTTAACAAATAGGACAAGAATGTTTTTCGCATCTGTAACACGGATCTCAGAATGAACGAATATAGCAGAATGAGCGGATATAGGTTGCGGAGTGGGCTATACATGAAACATGTACTTTCATGCCGATGAACATCTGTTGCATTGAGTTTTGCTGCCGTTTTCAACAGTTAAGAGTACTCATTTGGAAAGTGAGCACGCGAAAAGGTACTGAAGCAGCAAGAAAAAGCGTTATCTGGTACATTCCCTGTGCCTTCTATCAATACATATCTCCGGTAGTCCTACATGCAACAAATAACCTTCATGAAATTCTAAGACGATAGTCTGCTGAAATCTGATATAACATGAGATAAAACAAACTTTTCACCGGGTCCCAAAACAAATTGAACACAATTCTAAATCAATTTCTTGCAGCTAAATCGTCTTACTTTGTCTAAATACCCACAAGCACGGAGCATATAAATAGCATACATACATGTAGGTAACAATCATGATATGTAAGAACCAAAGCTGATTTAGTACTTTTTGAAGATAGCATTTTAAGGATAAAATTTAAATTACTGTTTGAAAGTTATTAATTTTAAATAGATATATTCAGCGTTGGTTTTACTGGAGAACAATACAGTGTATTACCTTGTAGATAGCGAATCATTATGCACATGGCACCGCCAAATATGAAGTCCCTTAGTAGAACCGGTACCAGCGTGAAAGGCATACAGAAGACGGCGAGAAGAAGGTCACTGATCGCCAAATTCAGAAGGAACACATTGGTCACTGTACGCATTCTCTTGTTCTGGATTAATGTCACAATTACAAGCACATTGCCAACGACGGATAGAAGGAATATGATAGAATATAAAGCTATCTGTATCTCAGCACTAAGTCTCAAACCGGGGTTGTTGCTGTAGACCCGTGACCACGTGCTATTGTGAAACACACTCTCATTCTTGCCTGCTCCAGAGACAGACATGACGAAACATAAAGTAATCCCTTGCAAAGGCAACTCAACACTAAAACGAGCCAACCTTTAACAATTATCGGAGACAAGTTGCTACGTGAACGTTTGTTCTGCTTCGTTGATCATAGAGTTCATTTTACCATGTAAAGGCACTTGACAAGATCCATCCACCAGTGCGGCAGGCTGTAGTTGGCTGGTCGATGCGACTCTGGTGACTGTGTCTAATCACCTCCCTAGCCTTCCTTCTACCGCAGGCCTCCTTGGGAGGGAAGGTAAAGGCGGGTTTCTTCTATCAAAAGCTTGCTTCCGCCCCGAGTCGTGGAACAATGCCGTTTCAATTAAGGACTAGAGTTAATAGGATGTGTCAATTAGACAGTAAGTATATGAAAGGACGTGATGGGAAAATATCTTCCGGGACATAACCCTTGAGCAGCGCCGATGGAAAAGTTACTTCTCAGAAGACAGTAAACAGTCTTTAGTCTTTAGTCTTTGTTCAGGGTTATAAGACGGCATGTTTTCTTGGACAGAAGAAATGTCACTTATTGCCTCAAACCATTGGACCTCTGGGCAATTGTCTCCCCAACAAACATACATCATTAACATCGACAAGGATTGGTGGAGAAACACTTCGCCATATCGTTATTTTAATACGACACATTAGAAGACGAATAATTTACTTCACGTGGAATAAAAACTTTTTCCCAGCTTGTACCTGCTCCATGAAACAAGTCTCTGCCAATTTCAACAATCCACTTCCTTAAAAAATGTGATTGAGCTACTTTAAGGCGCATCATCCGAAGTTCATATGATGCGCGTCTGTACTTCAAAGACTAAATGATGATTTGAATTCAATAAGGAGGTGTTGCTCGAGGGGTCCAAGGAAATAACAGAATATTGATTTATGTGAGGCAATGTTTTGGCTATTGCAGGATGATTGCGTCTAGTTTAGTTTCAATGACGGAAAAAAAATGATACACTAGAATGCAATTTGTTGCAACTGTTCATGATAGGATTTGCTTGTTGTGTTTGGCAAATACATTACTTAAAAGAACATTTAAATTTTCACTGTTTAATTTTTAAAGCGAAAACAGGTGAAACAGGACGGAAGTGTATCCATGCTTCGGATGATATGTGATCTTCAATATCCGTTGTGATGTACGTGATAAGGGAGATCAAACGATAGAAAACATATAGCGTTCTATTAGTTAATAGCTTTCAATAGAAACTCGCTCCACTAACACCTCAGTCAGAGACATTGATCCGATTACGCAACTGCAGCCGACTGTACTGAAAACCTTAAAACCAGAAACAGTCGTAAGAGCACAGTTTTTCTTTACTTATTGCTGTATTTTTGTTGAGTTATTCATTTTTTTGTTTTGTTAACGTTTGATCATACTCGTAATTGGTTAAGTCAGTGGTTAGCGGTCAATTTGGGGATTAGATGTTTTCAACAATCTTTCAGCAAATCAATCTGATTTGTTTTCGTCGGCGGAAAGTCAAAAATAGGCGACGGAGATGATGTGATTGGATAGGCGTTTACGCCTGTGGCTGTTCGTGAGGATTTAGGAGGGTTTCCTGAAAACAAATATTTACAAAAGGTTTTTGCGTAAATATGTTTGATGAAATACATCAGGGTGTTTTGTTTTACAAAATTTAACAGGACATGATTATATGTATAACGATCACCTTGGGTCCTGATTTAATTATACATTATTTCCAATTGTAGTGATTTTTAGTTAAAATATAGTTGCTTTTCCTGAGTTTTCCATAGGTTTTAAATATAAATGCTGATAGATGCAGTTATTTGTTGAGGCGTAATGTGGATAGTTAGGTAGAAATATCCTTAAGGCTTTCGCCTATTTAGCTCTAAATGCAACACACTTTGACCCAGAATATTTTAGTGAAGTTAATAATTTGCATGATAATTTGCATTATTTGCTTCAGTTAATTAACAATATCTTTATATGCCATATGTCGCCGCTCTATCCCAATTGGTACTTGGATCAAAACCGATCCACAAAACGTTAAATTGCTTGTTTGTAAAATGCGATAATATTGAATGGTGCTCAGGACGCGGTGATTTCAAAACTTCAACACCAGTGAATAATGAGTGACAACAATCTGGCGATTCAGTGTCCATAAGGGACGGAACATCTTATAAAGTGTTCCCGACAATTCTTGAAATAGGATCAGACTGGGGAACAAACATCGTAGCCACAAGAAGAAGAAGAACGACAAAAGCGTCAATCTTTTAATCTCTACTTAAGAAATGAAATTTAAAATAAAACCGCCCCTGCCCTGCCCCCCCAAAAAGAAACCAACCAACCAACCAGCCAGCCAGCCAGCCAAACGAACAAATATATAAACAAACAAACAAACAAACCAAAAAAGAAACAAAATTAACTCTTTACATACTTGAAATGAGTTTCTAAACGACAAGACCGCCTCCGTGGTGTAGTCCCCGACCGCGTCATACCAAAAGACGTTAAAATATGGTACTTGTTGGTCCCTGCCTGGCGCTCGGCATTAATGGGTACAACAAGGACTGGTCGGCTCGGAGTCAGTATAATGTGTCTGAGTGGGGTATTGGTATGGTATCTCAGTGGGTTAGCACTATCAAAACCAGCTTAAGTCTGGGCTAGTACAAGCAGCCACACATACATATACACACGCATGCACGTCGTCATATGAGCGAAATATTCTCAAGTACGACGTTAAACCCAATTTCACCTCACCTCATCTAAACGACAATATTTAGACACAGAGCATCTTTGAAATACACTCGAATATGAAGGGCGCTAATTCAACACCTATTTCATTGAGAGTAAAGAGGAGAAATGAGGTTTAATAGCTTAAGATTACTTCACTTGTATAGCTATGTACGGATGTTGCTTCTTCTGTGCTAGGCCCGCTCTGGGACACTGACCTACTGTGATCCAACCACTAATTGACATGGCATGTGTGTGCATCATTAACCCCGTGGAACAAGTTATGTTTGGGATTACATTTTCTCGGTAAAATACAGATTCCAGTACCCACACTCTGAGAGTGATTAGGTGCCTGTCTCTGAGAGTGTGGGTTCGAATCCCGGATGGAACTCAACCCAACAAACTTACTGACATCTGTACTTTACTGAGAGTGAGTGAGTATGATTTTACTCCGCGTTTAGCAATAGCGTAGCAATATCACGGCGAGGGACACCAGAAATGGGCCTCAAACATTGTACCCATGTAGGGAATCGAACCCGGGTCTGCTTTACTGAGATAGTGTAATTCCAAATATAACACGTGTTGCGTTTGACCACTTTCCACCTGGCATTGTGTATTCATTAACCTCGTGTATTTTGGTATCTTAAATTTTATAGACTAGGAATAAAATACACACTCACAAATAATCTCTTTATACACACAGACATGTTTTAATTATATGATTATTTTATTATTGTTAGGTTCTTCAAGAAGATTATGTCCATTATGTTTTCTCTATAAATGTGAACATCAATACGGTTACAGCTTTATGTGGACGTCACTATTAACTTAAAACTGCCATGCATCACTCACTGTGGCGACAGGAGTCGATGAGTGCTTCATTCTGTCAATTAGAGGAAGCATTTGTAAACAAATCACACTTTCGCCATCGATTAACTGCCCATGGAACCATTCTCTCGATTTCAATCACTGATACAGCGAGGGTTAAGACAAACCCAGATGATAAAAGTTCAACACGGGCGCCCCCTTAAGCGCAGGTCTGACGGAATGAAGTCAAGTTCAATCACAGCAAGTGGTGATGACATTGTCAAGAAAATGAAATACGTTTGGAATCATTAAGGATGAAAGTGGCTGCTGTGTACTAATTGGCGAGAAATGAATCCCGATTAAAAAGTACGAAACTCAAGCCACCCTTATCAATTCATATGTTTTTTTCGTCTATTTGGATGCTCATCATATTATTTTAATTGTTATTACTCTTGGGGGTGCCTTGGACACAATGTTATGCGTTTTTAATTTCGGGTATGCTCACCACATCATTTTATGTGTTTGTAATCTGAGAGGGATTATCAGCATATCGTTTTATGTGCTTGTAATCTCAAAGATGCTCAGCACATCACTTCATGTGGCTTTTTTTTATCTCGGGGATACTTATCAATTCGTTTTATGCGTTTCATCTCGGGAATGCTCAGCTAAATAATTTTTTATGTGTTCTACATCTCAAGGAATGTTCGGTACATATGTTATGTATTTGTAGTAGCTGGAATGTTTAGCACATCACTGTGTGTGTTTTACCTCTCAAAGGTACTCAGCACATTATTTTATGTGTTTTTTTCTCAGTATATTACCTTATGTATTTGTAGTTGATGTAGAGAACATCATTGTGAGTGCTTTTCTTCTCAAGGAATGCTCAGCACATATGTTTTAAATCTCAGAGGTATAAACACCGTATCGTGTTAATTGTTTTAATTTCCACATCTTTCAAATTATTAGTTATGAAGTTATTTCCTTAAACTGCTGTTCATAGCTCGTATATGGTATGGCTTATATCAGTATCACCATCAGAACTTGTGTAGTATATTACATTCACATTTACTAGAAATAGGGTCGATTTAAACTGGTTTTCCTGGTTGGTTTGTTGTTTAACGCCGCACTCAACAATATTCCAGTTATATGGCGGCGGTCGGTAAATAATCTATTCTGCACCAGACAATCCATTCATCAACAGCATGAGCATCGATCTACACAATTGGGATACAATGACGTGTGTCAGTCACGTCAGTGATCCCGTTATTTGCCCCTGACGACTACGACTGACTGACTGAGTTTGGTTTTACGCCACTTTTAGCAATATTCCAGCAACATCACGGCGGGGGACACCAGAAATGGGCTTCACACATTGTACCCATGTGGGGATTCGAACCCGGCGATTCGGCGTGACGAGCCAACGCTTTAACCACTAGGCTACCCCACCGCCCCCTTACGACAAACATAGTTTGTTGAAGACCTGTTCTAACCCGGATCTTCACG